TCTATTTTATATATAAAATAAAAATCTTTTCTGGAAATATGTTAAAACTAAACTTAGTATTTTGAGTTTTATACATTTCATTATTTAATTTATTAAAAAGAAACAAATAAGTTCATTAATATTTAACGTACGAATTATGTATATTGCTAACGTGATATCTGTATTTTCTGGAATACCCCATGCGTTCCTTCATTCTCTCACTCTCTCTCTCTCTCTTCTTTCTGTACATCAGCTTGTTGGCGCTTCTGCTGCTGCTGCAGCTTTTCAGCTGGTTGTGTTTCGTTTTCGTTTTTAGTTCAAAAGCGAACGCGGACGTGAGTCGGTCGTCGCAGCCGTCGCTCGCAACGCCTACGCTTTCGTTCCCTGTGTGCGTTTTGTGATTGCAAAAAGCAGCAGCAGCAAGAGGCAAGAAAACTTAATAAAAACAAATTTTCTTCTCGCGTGTGTGGATTTTTGCTAAGCAGCGCGTTTAAAACAGTTTTGTTGTAAACAAGTTGTTGTCATTTTCATTTCATTTTCTTGTCTTCTATTTATTTTGTTGATATCGATGGTATACATATATTGTTTTTAATCGCGCACAGCTGCTGGCAATATATATGTGAGTTCTCTAAATATGCATCAGTAGTATGTTTTTTGTTTTGTTTTTCCTGTGATGTGTGTTATAATTGTAAAATTGTTGTAATCAAATTAACGAAATACGCAAAACAGTAAGGATAACGGAATAATGTGTGATGCAGTGTGCTGATGGGTGGGTGGTTGTTTGGCTGTGAGCACGTAAACGTAAATGCGTAAGCTCAGACCCTGGACTCGAGCTTTGCTCTCTCCAGCTCCCAAGGTTTCTATCTCAGCACCAACACCAACACCAACAACAACAACAACAACACCAGCAACAAACTACTAAAAGGCATGCAAGCAACACCAGCACACACACACACACACACACACAAACTTGTGTCGTGCGTAAATATGTATATGCAATACACGTGCGTACATATGCACTACTCATGCGTATGTATGCGTGCGCGCGTACACGTACATGCATAAATACATACATACATACATACATGCAATGTGTGTGTGTGTGATAAGAATTTTCTACTAGATTATGGCATTTAAATTTTCTGCTTTCGGCTTAGCTTTTCAAGTCCAATATGGTTTTCCACGGTTTTCTTTGCGTGACTAGACGACCTCACACATTTTCGTGTGATTTGATTTAAGCTCCCAAAACGAGGCACAGCTGAAATTTAATGTTTTGCGGCTCCCAGTTGTATCATTGAAATGTTCTCTTGCGCTTGTGATTTTTTTATTCTTTTTAATTTCTTTTCGTCCGTTGTTGACAGTCATACTCGCTCACGAAACGAATAGGAGAGTATATTGGTGCATCCACTTAGCCGTCATTATTTATACAGCTATTACTATATACAGCTTTCAAGCTCCATTAAAGAATGCTTTAGCTCAATTAGAAAATAATTTATCTGTTTCGCCACAACTGAGCAACTGCTTTGCAGCAAATTGCGCCTGACTAAAGCGTTCTATACTTGATTTTTGTTTTTGTCTTGTTGTGGTTGGCTGCTTTAAGCCTAGGGCTAAATTATGTATATTGAGTGCGTACGCTTGGACCATCACCATGGTTGTTGTTRTTGGCCGCTTCTGCTGCTGCTTCTGTTGTTGGTATATTTATAAATTATTAATAAACATAAAGCGCGCCACAGGTGTGCACAGAGAGCGAGCGCTCGACCTCTGCGAGTAACACTCTTATACGTAATTGTATTTGTGTGCCTTTGCCTCCTCTATCTTTTATTAGTGACTGTGCGTCTCTGAGCACGTGTGTAGGTGTGTGTGTGAGAGTGTCAAAGCTTGTCCACTTTCTGTTGGTTTTCGTTGCTGCTGCATGCGCCGTTAACCTTTGGATTTGGCATTGCCTTTACCACCACCGTCGTTATGGCTGTGCTTGTGTGTATATGTGTGCAAATTCGGCTTCGCTCTTGCATATACGCACACTTATGCAAGGAATGCGAAATGCAACAGCGAAGAGCACAGCTAATGATCACCCATACATATAAGACAACTCTCTTTCTGCTGCTTCTTCGTCTTCCTCCTTATTGACAGTGAGCTGAGTTACTGATGCTCCAGCACTCTCGCTCTTTGGCGCCGTCTCTCTCTGTGACACACACTCTCATTCATTATTTTACTTCCGGGCCTTTCACATTCAATTATTTCTGCCTGAATAGTCGGCATAGCGGCAACTCAACGCTTAATACCGTTTGCGCTTTTTGGGGTTTTCTTCATTTCTGTTGTTGTTATGTATTTTTTACATTTGCTTGCGTCCAATTACTGTGGCAATTTATTCATCAAGCAGCAAAGCGTGCAAACAATAACATAATCAGGCATTAAAAACGGGGCCCAGCATCAAGTTTGTAATTTTTTGCGCTTTTACCACTTCTGCTTTTCCATTCTGTCCTGCGACTCTCTGTGTGCGTGTGTTTGTGTGTGTAAGCGCACTACGTGCATTTTCATATTGTTGTTTGTTTCGTTTCACCGTTGCTATGCACACTTTGTTGCTGTCACACACCTTATAATATTCGCAGTTTTATTTGCTGCTGTTGCTGTTTTTGCTGTTACTGCTGCTGCCTCCCAAATTTCCTGCTGCGAACTCTTCCAACCCGCTTGACACACACTTGATCGTCATAAAACAAACTGTAGAATGACAGACAGGCTATAAACACGACCCGCTCTCATGTTACGTGCAAAGTGCACAGATTTATACACGGCAAAAATAACTAGTATATTTATACATATGTACGTATGCCTATTTGTCCGTCCGTCTGTATGTCTGCCTGTCTGTCTATCTGTGCACATATTTATTTACTCAATTTTGTTATTCTCCTTTATAACGGGGCATAAGCAGACAAACATCTGTTCTGATATCTGTTAAGATAATTCGGCGAATTTTTGATTTCTCTCTCTTTATAGCACGAAAATAAGATTTCTTATCTCTCATGTATATCAATTACACTATATAAATCGTCTATATGACTATGGAAGATTTATGCACTCTTATTGAAGGGCAATTCAGTAAACAAAATGAAAAGAATAGACTGACTTCTTAATGTACAGAAAAACCTCTTCATCATCTAATCATACTCGCATTTTTATAACATTTTATAACAGAGACTTTAAAGTTTATTGTATAAATGAAACTCACTAATTAAATATTGACATTTAGTTAACAAAAATTACTGAAAATATGCCTAGCTGAGATATTGTATCTAACTTAGATCACATATCAGTTTAAGAACTGTAAAGAACTTATATTAAGTTGTCATCCATGTTCGATTCCCATGAATCTTGAGATCTATTACGAAATGCTCTATATGTATGTATATACATATTCTATATGAATGCGTGTATATATAGGTTCTGTGTATCTATTTTCCTCCCTAATGCCTTCTACCATTCCAACGCTGTCGCTTTCGTTGTCCCTCATAATTATTGATTACTGCTTTTGTGCCTCCTTTCAGTGGGCACACGTCCAACACATGATGTTTGCAACGGGGGCGGGCTTCGGCATGGGCGTGGGCATGATGGACAGTTATATTATGTGGGTGCTCGAAAGCCAGTGGTAAAGGCAAAGGCAGCCGCAAAAGCAATGGCAATGGCAAAGGGAAATGCAAAGCAAGGCAACATTGTCAATCATGAAATGTCCATTAATTAAGTTCCAATTGGCAGAGACAGCCGTAAAGTGGCCTGCAGGCAAGGCCAAGTCCATTAGGTGACTAGGCCTGAATATCGATACGTTTATATGTTCATATATGAAGTGTATCATAGCAAGGCTCTGTAAACATTTTAAATGCTGAGCAAATCACAATGTCAATAATAAATAACATAGTGCAGATATGCCAGCAATACCTTAGGCCTTGAGAATAACATAATCCAGTTATTCAAGCATTACACTATACCATTCCGCTATATTCAGATCAGTTTGGAAGAGATTTGAACTTGAAGACACTCAGAATTGTTTTGATACTTTTTATAGAATGATATAATCGATTAATTGATCTGCTGAACAAAAACCTTCAGAATTTGTTGCTCATTCTATTAATAATAAAAGATAATACAATTTATGCCAATTTCGGATTACTTAATCCGGGCTCAACATGTCGAAACCCTCGGAAATTTATAGTCTAACTCTGTTGATTGAAATAAAAAATATTGTGATGGGTTTGCTCGAATTTCTGATTAATTATTGGATTTAATATGTCAATAACCCATGAAAATATGCACATTGAAAATATACAATAAATACTCTGATTCTATAAATTGAAATGATATAAAAAGAGACAACATAATGGATTTATGCAAATTTCTGTTTTTTTTTTTTTTTTTTCTTTTTTAAATCGGGCTTAGCATGTCAAAAACATTTAAAAATGTATACTCTGGCTCTATCGATTCAAATGATATATGAAAATGTAATGAGATGGGTTTATTTAAATTTTAGAGTATTTTAATGGTAGCAGCATATAGAGTTCCCTTTGGAAGTTATAATCTGATTCTATCGATTTAAGCTCTGCTGGGTTTATTATAAGTTTCTAATGTCTGATATCGCCTCTGGAAGACATGACAAGAGCATTCTAAATGCAATACCTTATGAATTTCCAGTTGAAAGTCCATCCAATATTTCCATTTCAAGTGCAGAAATTATCAGGCATAATACAATGAAGCGATAAAGAGTATATTACAACTTTCTATATGTACGCTCACAAAGGAGCTGTGGAGCAGTGGAAAGGTGGGGCCCATGAGCACGTCCCCAAAGCCAACGGTTTCATATTACATTCACAGGCATGATGCCACGCCTCAGACTCTGGGTATAGCTGACAATGAATAATTTATTATCTATTTAGCTATAGCTAAACTAGTTCATGTAGTGACTAGATATGTGTATAATCTAAAAATAGATCGTATATCGTTAATCTCTTGGTACTTCGTAATCTTTATAGCGCCGTCAATGGGAATCGCATTAGACTTTACCTCGTACTTGGTATTGAGAAATGAGTCAAGTGCAAACTTTGCTTAGACATTGACCGAAAAATGGAATATAATAAAAAGCGACAAACGCGTATTAGGGCTACGACCTTACGGTATCAAAGGTTAAGTTCACTTTAACCGTTTCCAGTTTCCAGTTTGCAGTCTCGAAACACTTATTTCACTAATATTTCAGGTATTTCAATTGTCTAGACCGTAAGCCATCCCATAAATCGCAATCGTTGTTTACAGTTTTATCTTTATTGCCCCGCACTCAGCGGAACCATTAATTGCATAGCTAAGCATTTGGCTCAAATTGTGAATTATCACGGCGATCAACATGTAATGATGTCGTACTCGTCAGCGGATCGATTACATTATTAAAGCGAAGCAAAACATATGTGCAACAAGTGGCTTAGACATGGATCAGTCATGGCAATAACTGTGACAGTTACTGCATATGGGTAAAAACACAACAAGCATATAATAGATGGATTTAATTAGTCAGAGAGAAACTCATTCAATGCCTGTCTATTTGTATATTCATGCGTACATCGATAAGTTATCGATAACCTGCAAGCATCGAAACGACTTGAGCATGCTCATTGTGGCCCTTGGGCATTTGGGGCATTAAGCATATAGGGTATCTGCTAATCGGCCACTCCCCATTTCGAGTACTCTTACTGGCTTTCTTTGTTTATCGAGTAGGTCAAGCGGTGACAGCCACAACCACGGGCAGGTGGAGGGGGAGAGGCCAGGGCAGCTTATGGGGCTCGGTTCTCGGTTCTCTTTGTTTTTGTACTGTTGTCGGTAGTCAACAATAAATCCAATTAGCAAAGCGGTTCAAGGTAACAGAAAAAAAAAGAAATACAAAAATTATGCACGATAAACCAAATTCACTTCAAGTGATGCTCTTGCTATACCCTGTATGGAAATTATATTTTCAGGCCAATGGGTGTAATGAGCTGAGAAGGAATTTGCATATATTTAATAAAATATTATTTATATAGAAGTTGCTCATAAATATTTCAAGAATATAATTTATACACGTATAAATAATGAAGAAAAATGTTTAAAATTTAAAGAGAATTAAAATTTAACTGTTTTGCTAATACAGCATATCTGCAGCAGTTTGAACTACTTTGTGTATGCCCTGTAGATTAATGAAAGGTTCTAGCAATTAGTTATAATGAAGTGAAATGGAATTGATAACTAATTAATGTAGAAGTTGTTTATGGATTTAAAAAATTTGTCAAATTTACATTTATAATTAGAGCAAAAATAATAAATAAAATATAAATATAAGACTTGCTAAGCCCGAGATATTTATTGAGTCGATATGGTCGTACAGCATATCTGCAAGTCGAGCAGCTTTCACACATTTTCTTTTGGCTTTCCATAATACACTGTGAGCTGAGCCACGAGGTGACCTTTTCATAGATTTTCAATTCCCATTTTCATTGTGCTTCGTTAGCTCTGATAGACAGCGCAAAGTGTTCCGTCTGACAGCCAGAGATTGTCCGAGTGCTGGGACATTTAGCTTGCTCTCCTTGGGCGACGGCCGGTGGTACATTGGGGCGAAATGAATGGTAGTTTGCATTTTAGAGCGCACATATTGCTGCACATTACACGGAAGCCATAGCAATTAGCTAAGGCAATGGCCACACATACACAACATGGACCCCTAGGGCCGCAACCCCTCGCAGCCCCCAGGCCAAAATTGTAATCCAACCTTGCCACATTTTCAGGTCATAGACGCCAGCAACGCCTCAGCCATGCGCAGCACAAACACCACTGGCAACAACAATAGCCAACATAATAATAATAGCAACAGCAGCTTTAACAACAACAACAACAACAACAACAGCGACCGATGATTGCCTGAAGCGAACAAAAATCCATCAGAAAGCGACAGAAAGCCTGCTTAGGCGAGAGAAGTTCAGAAGAATTCAAACCCGCCGTAATACACCAAAGACGCTGACCAAAAAGCATAAAAACCTAAATAAATAAAAACAAATTATATAGGCCACAAAAATATATATAACCTGCAAACATGTTGATCAAAGAGTACCGTATACCACTGCCCCTCACCGTCGAGGAGTACCGGATTGCCCAGCTGTATATGATAGCGGTAAGTTGATAGGCTTAACTCTATCTATAGAGAGCAATATGAAGATTGATGATAGCTGATAATTTGATCTATCCTAGATGCGGAAGAAAATCCAATATAATTAGTCCTATTATTGATATTAACACTAATCAACTGTATATGATATTAGTATTATCATTATGGGTATACATATATATTAATATTATTAATATTAGTATTAGTTTTCTTATGATATTTATTCGTATTTCGGAATTTATATTATT